CTAACTGCAGCTGCTGGCTAGGAAGACAGTTTGTTAACCCAAGCCCTGGGTAATTACTGGAGGTGGCATTTGCCAAGTAAACCCTGCGCAGTTACTGTGTAAATAAAAAGCTGTTTCATTTCATCTGTACCCGGTAGCTTAGAGCAGTAAGGAGAGCAACAAAGCGGCAGGGTTAGTGATAGCAGCACCCTCCAGAACAGCAGCCTGGCTGCTGGATGACCCTGGGCCTAGCATGTCTTCCTCTTAGATGGGGAAAACCATAACGTTCCCGGGACGGAAATCCGACAGCTATTTCCCCACTCTTGAAAAACACCTTAAGCAGCACCATGCAGAGAGGGAGAGGAAGGACAAGGTAACCCGAACCACGCGGCATGCTGCATTACCTGCCCCATGCCCCCATGTTGCTAGCACAACAAAGCCATCCCCTCTGTAAGGGCAAAAATGGTGTCACTCAGGCGGGTCAACGATAACTGCTCCCAGAAAAAGCCTTGGCAGCACTTCTGTAAGACAGGATGAGCACAAAGCTTGTCTAGCAGCCTGCTCGGACTCTGATTGTGCAGCAAGCCCTGTGCCATGCTGCCCAGATGTGCCATCGACTCGGAGCCACAAGGTGACAATTCCCACACAGGGAGAGAAGCATGTGCTGGCCAGAAGTGGTCCTTCCGCAGACGGCCCGCACTCAGCGGGGCTCAGCCACCCAAGGTCTGGCTGTGTCTGGGCAGTGGGAGGTGATCCAGGGTCTGGGAGCACATTTGTAACTCAGCAGTCTGACGATGCATCCGTGGAATAAAGACTCATCTTTGAGGGAAATGGTTTGCAGGGACTTACTGCTCAGCCACTCAAGCTCTTTTGCTCTGTAGTTCTTTGGGCTTTACAGACCCCTCGCAGCCAAGCACATGCTGACAAACCCATGGCATGGAAACTTATCCCTTCACTGCTTGGACTGTTCTGGGAGCAGTGATCCAAGCTTTTAGCCAGGCATCCTGAGGGCTGGCCTTGGACAGGAGAAACATGGAAACCATAGGGACAGTGGGCACATGCCAGCCCTGCCCTGCTGACCACGGACCCTTCCTGGCACTACACTGAGGGGGCTGGAAGACTATTTATGCTTCACATTCCCTGAGGTTAGCAGGAGACAGAGGAGTCGTGCCTGAGATGTTGCAGTAGACCGCTTGTTGACAGACTCTGGCTTCTCGGGGTTTAAAGATGACTTTAATTTCAGCCGAAGAATTTGGCCAGATATCTCCCTCCTAAAACAGGAGGAGACAGCAAACCATTTATCTTCAAACATTAGATTTCTTGTTTTCAACCACAGCCCTGTACCCTTTATTTAGGGCATCCATGAAGAGGAAGGAGCAAGAAACACTTATCAACAAAAGAGAGTTTGGAAGCAACTGCAAAAAACTTTCTCGGCCCCTTACCTTTACTGGCACGTAGTAAAGGCATTTTGTTAAGTCAGGGCTACAACAAAGCAACCAAACTGGCTCACACACCAGCAAATCAAGCAGGATTTCTTCAGAGGTACCAGCCAGTCTAAGGAAAAAGTACCTCTCTCCTCCAAACCTTCCCTTATACCCCTCTATCACCATGGCTATGTCAACATTTTTTACTTAGATCAGAAGAAATTTAGCAAATCAAATGGATTTGTTTCATTCTTAGTTGCGAAGCTGCTTCCTCATACCCTTCACTTACACTTGTATTGAAGTACATAGTGCACTCCAGTGTGCTGAGGCACTCAGCACCCAGCAGAACAAGCCCTCCTGCCTGGGGATCAATGAAGAACAGACTCCTTCCCACTGATGGCTCCTTCTGCCCCGTGCTGTGAGCAGCCAGCCAGCACACAGGCTCTTCCAGCTGATGGATGATCCGGGAAAGGAGTGGAGAGTCAGATGCATTCCTGTTTCCCTGAACACAGGCTCAAACAACAAGAGATGGCATTTGCTTACAGCTCCACACCTCTTTCAACTAACAAGCTGTTCTCCTTAAATCCTTTGGGATTTAAGTCTGGGCCATGCTGCCAGTGTGTCTGCAACTGTCTGCTGCTTCCTTGGGGTCTTGCCTCTCTTTCTCTCCCAAAGAGTCCTGGCACTGATGCTCAGTCCCAGGGAGCCTTGTCACACAGTTTCAGAGGCATCTCTGGTTTCCAAAGGCTCTTTCTTACATCTTAGGACTGGTTTAAACAAAGGCACTGCTTACATCCCCTCAACCCCTAGCATTACAAATGTTTCTTTGTGCATTTGCTGACATAAATACAGGCACCTCTGACAACTGTAACAATATTCTATATGGAATGAAAAATTTAGCTTATAGAAGGAGACAAAAAGAACAGAGTTGGGTTTTTATCAACAAGGTGAGGCTTTGATTCTGCTGCCTGCTGGGTATCCTCAGCACTTTGTCCAGAAGACTCTTGAACTGACTGGAGCCTCTGGCACTCCTGCAGCATCAATATTAAATAACTGCAATACTTCCCATTGACTTAGCACTTACAGCTCAAAGGACAGCCCCCACACAAATTAAAGAGCTATGACATGGTGAGTTATTGGGCTGCAGCTGCAAATAACTCCCTAATGCACAGCCCGCTCAGAGTCAACACAACAGAGGGAAGAACAGGCAGAGAAAACTGTTTCAAACACCAACAAACCAATACCAAGAAAAAGAGACATCTGAGAGAAAAAAGTCACTTGGATTCTTCTCAAAATGCGATACTGCAGCCCTGGAGCCGCGCATCCGCGCTGGCGGCGTGATGCCGCAGTCTCTGCTGCCAGTAACTTTTTCCCTTTCTTAAACATGTTACCACAGAGGCGCTACCACCGTTGATGATTCGCTCAGCCTTGGCCCGCAGTGGGTCCATCTTAAAGCCATCTGGCATTGGCCATATCAGACACAGGTGAAGCTTCTAGCAGCTTCTCGCAGAAGCCAGCTCTGTAATCACGCCCAAAGACCCTCTTCCCTTTCTTTGACAGACGGGGCCCCTCAGCCCCCAACAGACCAGGTTTCTCCGAGCGAGTGCCATGGTCTAAGCAACCAAACCCCTGGCTGCGGCACCGCTCCTGAAAGCAGTTGCTGACCTGCCAGATTCGACTGGCTCTTTCAAAGCCCTTTCCTTTGGCCAGGAGAGCTGATGAAAAAACCACCTGCACGCCAGAGTCCTTTACCATCACTCCCAGGGCTCTGAAATCCTTTGTGACACCCTGCAGACAGCTCCTGGCTGCATCCCTGGTGCCCACATGAAACAGCAGCAGTGGGTAAGAGCCAGGGGGCTGTCTGAGGCTTGGCAGCCTCTTGGTGACATCCCTGGTACGAGTCCCCAGAAGATTGAAAGCTTGAAGCTTCAAAGCCTGAGTCCCTTTGAACAGGGCCAGGGGAATCAAGAGGGAGTTCAGGCAGTACTGGAATTCATGACGAACCACAAGCACGGTTTTCATTTGGTTCTCATTAAATACTACCTTTGTACAAAAGTGAGCTTAACAACTTCTGTAAAGATGGGGGATTTCTGCAGCTAATGTGGCGTAAAGGATTTGGGCACGTTCCTGTCTCAAGATTGGACTGACTGGCATGAACAGCCCAGAGCTCAGTGAGCCCTGACAGATGTGCAAGTCTTAACTGGTACCTTAACGAGGTACTGGTAACTCGTGGCTCCGGAGACCCCACGTGGAAATACACACGTCCTAAGAATGACACTGAACTCTGGGCCAACGGATCCGGAGTTTGTTGGCAAGTTACAGGAAGCTGCACTGGGTCATCATCAACAGCAACAAAACCCAGACGCCTCATTTCATCTACAAAACAGCCACCAGAAAAATACATCGGAGCAGCCCAGCACTCTTAACATCACAGACACAAGTTCCTAGTGTATCTGGAGCACTGAGCACATGGATGAGGAACCTGGATTTCCAGGAGGCCTGCAGAGTGCCTCCCCACAGCCTGCCAGCCTCAATGGTCGATGCGTTCACTCTGTTTTAGCAAGCCAGTGTGCCATGGGCCTTTGGTAGGAAGCCAGCTCTAGGCTGAAGGAGGACTCTGGGCTCCATAGCACAAACTGAAATGTCAACTTCAAGTGTTAACAATCAATTTATCTATGTACATCCTGCAGTAAACTGTTGCTAATTTGGTTTGGTAATTTTAAACCTGTAATGGGAGGGCCTGGTCAAGAACAAATGTTCTCTTCACCTGACTCTAGTACCTCCTCTAGAAGATTTCTGACCCCTGCTTTACAGCATTTGGGCAAAAGATACACCTTCCTTAATACCACTAATTCAGAACAGGTACTGCTAATGTATGCGAAAATTCCATCAATTCACACCATTGCAGTAAGCAGTTTTGCAATTGCTGGCAAAGTTTTATCCAAGAGGTATCAGAAGAGCAAACCACAAGCTCCCTGTTCATGATGAATGCTCTCAAGGCTGTCCTCCCCCAGCTGTAGGACATGAATTTATGCATTATGCCCTCAAACAGATCAACAAACAAAAGCTGAATCATATCAGCTGGGAGAGGTAACCAGCTCCCAGGCGACACAAGCATTAGCTGGGTACAGACCACACAGGAGCCCTCCACCCCCACACACAACTGTCCAGGGCTGCATGTCCCCTCCAAATAAGAGCCAAAAGACAAGGAGGTCCCACAACAAGCAGTCGTGCACCGCAACCGTGTCTGTCTGGCTTTGTACTCGCAGCAGGCTATCAACACCTCACCAAAGCATTCTTACTTTTGACAAAGCCTTTTTAATATAGGTTTTGCCCAGAATCTCACAGTACAGAATATAAAAGGGAACTTTACATTTTATTTTCATTAACTCATTTCTGGGATGTAAAAGTTCCATTTCAAAATAACAAAGAAATGATAAAATATGACGTTCAAAGTTTATTAATGCAGAAGACTTAGAGATGAAAAAAAATTTAACTCAAATGGGAAAATTTAGTACTCAACCACAACCACCACAAACTTGTGTAGTTGAGCTACCAAAGAAGTTACAGTAACGTGTTATTTCAAGCAAACTTAAGTCATAAAACATTTAAAAGTTCTACTGGTGGAGGATTAAGAGGAATCTTCCCCAAGGTAAACTTTTTGGCTTTGAATTGTTCCACCTCTTCAGCTGTTAATTTGCTCATCGGTGTATATAAATTTTCTGATGTGCTATTACTTGTGACCGCAGATGCTGATGTTACGTGATGTCCAGAGGCACTGACAGTCTGTCCAAAACCAGTGCTGCTTGAATGGGAGGGAGAAGCTGTAACTGCTGCATTCGAATCTCCAAAGGCTGGAAATGGAGTGGTGCCCAAACGGTTCACAGCCGAACTGCCAAACCCTGAAAAACTAGTGGGTTTGGAATTCCTGGTGGTTCCAAAAGTTTTAAATGAGAAGGAGGCTGCAGATGGAGTTGCCAGGCTGCCAAAACCAACAGAATGGGATACACTAGGAGAGGACATCAGTCCAAACGTGGGAGGATTAGAATCAGCAGAGGAGCTCCCCAGAGCAGGACCAACACGACTGGAATTTGTTTTAAAGGAGAAATTACTGGCACTAGTACTGCTGCTCTTCATAGGAAAGCCTGCAATTATAAAATTTGTAAGAAATCTTAGAATGTGCACCGCTGTGATACTAAACCACTGCTGTATTTCAATAATGCAGAAGAAGAAAAACTCAAGAAAATGTTTCACTGTTGGTTATTCATGCAGGAACTTACTTGACAACCCAAAGCCTGATGATTGCTGTCCTCCAAATCCAAAGGCAGGCAATGGCTGAGTGGTCGTGTGCTTCAATTCAGGTAGCTGAAAAAAAAAACAAAAGCATAAAGGAAAATTAGATTCCAAAACAGGGAAATGTCTTTCGATAAATACTTGAAACAAAAATACAGCGGCCCAGCGCAATGGAACACAACTCAGACTGAGTTAGACACTGATCGCTTTCATCACGATCCCGTGCTCTTGCAGCTACAAACAAAACGCTGTAAAGCCACATGCTGTTCTCTGTAAAACACTCCACAAACATAGATACATCACAAGGTACAGGTTTTGGTCTGTCAGGCACTGACCTGAATGCCTCTTCCAGCTCTCTTTCTCATCTCTCCCCTGTTTCAGTGTTTTAGGACCCTCTCCCTGTCACTGCTGTGACTGGGTCTGTTCCCTCACCCCGGCACACCCAGCCTGCTGTGCTAAAGCTCCAGTGGCACTCCTGCACCTTCCGCACGGAACCCACCAAGGGCTGGGATCATCGCACTAAAACCTGGAACGCGCCTCACGCGGACTCCGCTCCAACCAGCTGCCTCTGTCTCCCTGACTGGCTTTCCTTTCTGACACATCTAGATTCACAAGTGTTTGTCACCTTCCCAGGAACAGCTACTTAGCCAAAGAGCTTCTCTCCCCCCTCTCTACCCATTTCTCCTTCTGGCACCACCAAAATGCTCCATTGATCCTAAGATGGCCTGGAGGACACTGCTGGTCTCATCTGCTGCTCACACCTTGGAAGAGTCAAGGTCAACATCAGCACGTGGAAGAAAAGGTGGGGTGGACATTCGCCTCTCCCTAGACGGGCACTCGACCGGATCCCAGCCTCAAGCTGCGGTGACTTCCCCGTGGCTGGCAACGACAGCATTCCAAACCTGGGACCCAGCAGCTGCCTCGCTGACATGGAACCGTCCTGACCCGCTGCTCTCCTGAGTCACCTACAGGGTTTTAGAACACCCGCCTGCAATTCACTGAGTTCATGACTCCACAGAAAGGTGGAGGTAAGACCCCCAGCGGTGTTCACAGACTTTCATGGTCGCCAGCCTCAGGCAGTGCCAGAACATTCCGTCCCGTTTCTGTCACCTATGAAAACCACAGAGAGGCAGAGATGGGGCAGTTTGCAAACTGCCATCGTTATTGTCTTCTGCAATTGCTCCTTACACCCTTTCTGCTCTCTCTAACGTGCCCTGCAGTGTGCCAGGATCACTGTCAAGGTCTTCGTGCCGCCAGTCAGCCAAATGCTTTCACGCCAGATGTTTTTCAAGGCTGCGGTGCCAGAACAGAACACATCCCAGCTGAGAGTTTCAGAAGAGTTCACAGAGCTGGCGTCAGATTGCCAATGAATCTAGGAACCGAATGTTGCCACATCTCAGCTATTTAGGGGCAAACATGGATGCCCTAAAAGAATCATGCATGTGTGGTTGTAAAACAGAGCATCCTGCGATCTTCAAAGCAACACCGATCACCTACTGATGTGAAGTCAGCAGAAGTGCGGTTAAATACGCTGGTAACAGACGACGTTTCTGGGGAATGTTTGCAAGATCTCTGCATTAAAAACGAGGTGGAATGTTACAGTTCTCATGTCTTAGAAATCTTTGTATCAGAAATTAACGTCGGCATTTGCAGGACAGTTTGGTGGGATGTGCCTAAACAAATGTGAACCTAATAAAAAAAATTACATCAGGAACAGAAACATTTTACCTTTCATTGGCACTTACCAAAGCTGCTTTTGTCGATGCCTGTGAAGCTTTCAGCTGACACAGACGATTTTTCCATTGTTCCACTAACTGTTGGACAGAAAATATCTAAAAAGGGGGAAAAGAAAAGCCTGGGTTTATTACTGGTGAAGACTTACAAATAAAGTAAAACAGTGATCTGACAACTAAACTGAAAGATTTCTACAATTAGAAAAGAAACTTTATTAGGCCAAGACGACAGGAGCTGAAATGTTTGTTATTAACACAGAATTCCTTTCCACTGCCCTTAAACAACTTTTTTACTTCCTGGGCCTTTCTGAATCTAAGTTCTATCACTATCTGAATCAGGCGCTTAGGAATAAAACCAAACAAACCACCACACACCAATTATGTCAGTTTTAAACGTACGAGAACAAGCTCTTCAACCCTTGTTTTATTTCTGGCTTGCCCACTGATGTGCTCACTCATTAAGCTGAAGTCCTAAGATTTGCCTTGGCTTCTTTCACATTTTCAGAAAAAAATGCCCCCTTTCACACTATTACAATTCAGAACCCTTTAACAGTATCATCTTAAAATACTCAGCTTTGCAGAAATTAACTTCCTTCAATCAAATCAGCCTCTTTATGTGATCCAACAGATTACTGCAGGAAACATACACAGCAATAAATAGTGCCTGTGTCCGTCTGATAACTGTGATTAAAGTATTCAACAAGAAACTGGGAAGTCATTAAATCATTTACTTCTCAGGAATA